TCCTAGCTTAAATAATTATTAAAAAATCCAAAAAATAAAAAAATAAAAATAAATAAATGGTGGCAGACGTCGTTGACTATGTTTTCTCGTTTCTTGATTATTATTATTATTATTATTATTATTATTATTATTATTATTATTATTATTATTATTATTATTATTATTATTATTATTATTATTATTATTATTATTATTATTATTATTATTATTATTATTATTATTATTATTATTATTATTACTATTATTATTATTATTATTATTATTATTACTATTATTATTATTACTATTATTATTATTATTATTATTATTATTATTATTATTATTATTATTATTATTATTATTATTATTATTATTTAAATAATTATTTAAATTGGGAGGGGTTGCAGTTTTGTAATTTTAGAGCTTAGATCAAACGGCGTTAAGGTCAAATGTCAGACAAATAACAACGAGGACCACGTTGAGACAATTTTTCAAGTATATGGGGGCAAATGAATAGAATAGGGTAAAGTGATACCGAGCCAAAGTAAAAGGGGGGAAAAGTAGAATTTCCCCTAAAATTTATATCACTAACCAATAGAGATAGTCAAGCCACCAAAAGTGAAGTCTCCGAGTAACTAAAACATGACAATCCAATATAATCATCTAATGCAAAATTACCAATAGCAATATAAAGCCCATTTAACAGATTATTTCCTATTTATCCACTCACAATTCGTAACATTAGCAAAGATTAATAACATGGCAGTTCAATTCCTATTTTCATAAACGGGATGTGGAATACCAAGAGCCACGTAAATCAAAAATTAAATTATGGTTTCCAGAAAATGTATAGCTTAGTCTTGGTCGAGAAAGACTAACAACTTTGATGAGATTGGATCACTGGCTAAACCCAAAGTCGTGCAACATCACCTTTGGATTAAGCAAATAAAGCAGTTGCAGGATCAATACATTTTCTTTCTTTTGTTATGAGTCCCTGATAATGTACATACGTGAATTTGAGATGACAAGAAGAAGTCAATTGAAATAGAAAGTCCGTACAAACTTCACGTATAACATTCTTAGTCACAAACTATATCACAATGAATCTTACCTGCCAATGCATAAATAAAGAATTGAACGGAAAAATAAAATGTAATTGCAAGTAAATTTAGTAGATAAAAGTTAAATCAATAATCCCCATGCATAGACCATTAATTTTATGAAACTGAAACACGTGTTTTGAATTACCTGAGTAGAAATAATTTTAAATCAATAATCCCCATGCATATAACCCATACATGTTTCATTAGGTCAATCAATTCAAATGAATAAAAAAAATTAACTTAGTACATAGAAGTGGGAAAAATATGCAAAATAACTTATGAACTTTATTAACAGAGGCTCAATCCGACTTGATATGGAGGATTTATTCCTTCATTAATCTAGAAAACTTTATCAATTTCTCAAAATTTAGGGTTCAAACAATTAAGCATAGAACTGAAAACAAAAAAAAAAAAACAAGAAGAAAACGAAAAAGAAATCGAGAAGAGAAAGAAAAGATGAATGAGAACTTGAAACTGGAAGTTACGATCATTTATTTCTTTCTTTGGTGTAACTGATGCAAAATTGAAATTCATATTGAATTATCGACCATTGAGTTTCTTTGAATTTCTTATATGACTAACATTTAATAGATACATGAGTTCATCTTTTCAGATGCCTTTATACATTGAACTTTAAAAAATATCAATTATTTTCATAAACATACATTAAAAGACTAATTATAAATTAATATTAATTATTTTAATTTTGATAGGGGCATTTTAGTCATCACAAAAAAGGGAAGAAACCTCCCCTAATATTCCCACTTTTATAAATAGTATATATAGATAGAATAGTTTTTTGTTGGACCCTTTAGAATAAATATCAAATGAAAGGATTTGTCCACATGCCTGGTTCCAAAAGTCAACGCTCAAGAAGCATCAATCAAGCTGTACTAATTTTTTAACCTCGTGTTTTGAATGAATCATTTTATAACAGATTTTTTAATTAATTGTTCGACCAGATCCAAATCTGTTGCAACATAAAAGAAAAGAAAAAAAAAAGTAAAAAGAAAAAAAAATGGGCATTAGGATTCCGTAGATTGGGTTGTTCCTATACGAGATCTACTAGAATCAGACTCTAACTTGTTTTTGGAGTTTTTGGCAATTTTTAGTATTTTCTTAGTTTAATTAGAGTTTTTAGTTTTTTACTATAAATAGCTGCCTTAGGACTTTTAGAGGAGAATTTTGAATTTTAATAAAATTTTAGAGTTTTCTCTATTTTTTTTGAATTCCAAAGTTTTACGGTGGATTCCGAATGTTAGTTTGTTCTATAGGATTATGATACGATTTATTATTAAATATATATTTTAATTATTAGTTAGTTAATATTTTATTATTAATTAAATTAGATTGATATATTTAAATATATATATGGCGTGAGTTAGTATATTTAGGATATATATATAGTCGTGTGTTTAGTGATTAGGGGATTATTAAGTATTTTATTAGTTTAGGTAATTATCTTTTCTAGTTAGATTAGGATTCTAGGGTTTTCTTATATTTAAATAGTCGTCTTGTGCTAGGGTTTTATTAAAAAGAGAAATAATAAACAAGAGTTTTCTTACGTTCAGTAAAGAAATCTTATGATACACAAGAGATCGTTCAATTGGTATCAGAGCGAAGTTGCGATTAACACCAACGCTTCGTTAGCAAGGCAGCGATTACATCAAAGCTACGCTGGAGCAAAGTTGAGATCACATCAAAACTTTGTGAAAATCATGATGTCAGAAACAAGACGGTTGGAGCGATTGGAAAAATCCGTACAGAAATTACGGATTAATTTTCAGAAATTGCTCGAACAAAGTCAAGGACGACGTCAACGCCATCACAAAAAGCCGAAGGGACCGCTGCCCGAAGGGGACCGCTGTCCGTCCACCGCCACGGCCCATCGCCACCACCCGCCATTGCCCAAGCCTATCGTCGGAGGGAGAGGGAAGAAGACGATGATGACTTTTTTCGAAAGAGCCCCCAATTTTTTTGTGAGTTCGCCCGAAAAGAAAGAATTATTGGATTCAGTTGAAGTAATTTTGGGATGAAGACGAGAAACCAACCCAAGGAGCAGAACGAAGAATCACTCATCTTAACTGAGGTAATTTGGGACGAAGATGAGGAATTAACCAAAGATGAGAATGAAGAACTACAATGGATATTGGGAGATTTCTATGATGTTGAAAGGAAAAAAGACGAACAAGAATTGGTGATTGTGAATGAACCGGAATCTGAAAAGGTAATTGAAGAGGCTTATTTATCGGGAAAAATATTGAGAATCTTTCCAAAAGCCTTTAGGAGTTCGTTCGATCAACATAAACAGTGTGGTAAAGATCTTGATCGTTCATCATATTTTTCGGAGTCAAAGTCGGAGTCAATCGGGAAGCAAGTCGATGAAGTCAAACATAGGTGGAAACGCAAATTGACTCGAACCTTGAGGACAAGGTTCATTTCAAGAGGGGTGGTTTGATACGATTTATTATTAAATATATATTTTAATTATTAGTTAGTTAATATTTTATTATTAATTAAATTAGATTGATATATTTAAATATATATATGGCGTGAGTTAGTATATTTAGGATATATATATAGTCGTGTGTTTAGTGATTAGGGGATTATTAAGTATTTTATTAGTTTAGGTAATTATCTTTTCTAGTTAGATTAGGATTCTAGGGTTTTCTTATATTTAAATAGTCGTCTTGTGCTAGGGTTTTATTAAAAAGAGAAATAATAAACAAGAGTTTTCTTACGTTCAGTAAAGAAATCTTATGATACACAAGAGATCGTATCAGATTAATTCGTAGAAATTAATTATTTACCATGCTTCCATTATTCGTCAATCTGTGTAGTTGCATTAAACTACAATTTCACGTAAATCTAGGGAATCATTGACTTTTTGATGTTGAGCTTCCATAGAGTGAAGAGTTTATTTCACAAGTCTATTATATAAAGACTCAAGATATGCAATTGTGCATGGTCACACACAAAATACCAAAAACAATGGCAGCAAATAGTAATAATCTCTCTGTGCATATGAATGCTGGAGATGGTGAAACTAGCTACACCAACAATTCTGCCCCTCAGGTAATCTCTCTCTCTCTCTCTCTTTCTCTCTCTCTCTCTCTCTCTCTCTGGGACCGGCAAAATTGTATTAATTTTAGCGAAATATTAAATTATCGAATTATTATTCAGCACGTCATTCGAGTCGGGGTCGAGAAGATTTATTATTAATTAAGCAAGGTTATTAACTAATAGTGTGTTTGAAATAATGTTGCAGAAAATAGGGATATTGAAATCATTGCATGTACTGGATGAAGCAATCAAAGATATGATAACCAATATCGGCTTCCCAAAATGCTTCAAGATAGCTGATTTAGGCTGTTCATCGGGCCCTAATAGTCTTTCCGTAATTTCTCGTATAATTGAAAAAATCGAACATCTCTCCAAAGAAAACAATAATGAGTATGAAGTGTTTCTGAGTGACCTATATGGAAATGACTTCAACAACCTCTTCAAAATGCTCCCCGATTTTTACGAAAAACTCGACATTAGTAATCCAAGTACAAGATGCTTCGTATCGGGTTTGCCGGGTTCGTTCTACGGCCGCCTATTCCCATCCAATAGCCTCGATTTTGTTTATTCATCCTATAGTCTTCATTGGCTCTCCCAGGTAATTAATTATTTCATATATAAATATATATATGTATTTCTTGTATATATAAATATTTATATAAAAATTCATATAGGTTCCTAAAGGAGTGGAAAGCAACAAAGAAAACATACACATAGCTAAAAAGAGTCCACCGGAGGTATTTGAAGCGTATTCGAAGCAATATAACAAAGATTTGACCAATTTTCTTGAGTCAAGGGGCCTAGAAGTGGTCAAGGGGGGTCGTATGGTGTTGACTTTCTCCGGTGGAAGCATCGATGGTCAATCTATAGGAGATATCGAGTGCTTACAGTTCACCATTCTAGCCGATACACTCGTTGACATGGTCGCTGAGGTATACATACATACATACATACATACATACATACATACATAAGTATTCGACAATTAGTAGATATTTGTTTCTTCTCTTTTTAATTGACTACATATAATTAGGGGCTGATCAAGGAGGCCGATTTGTATTCGTTCAACTTGCCTATGTACGCACCAAGCAAGCAAGAAATCGAGGAAATAGTTCTTAGTGAAGGGTCGTTTAATTTGGACAAACTCGATGAATTTGTGCTCCCGTGGGATGTTCATGTTACGAGTACCGATAATCTAGACGCCAAGTATAGAATTGGGGAACTTGTGTTGAAGTTCATTCGGGCTTTCACCGAGCCAATCTTGGCCGCGCATTTCGGGTGCTCCGTCATGGATGAGGTTTACGGAAGGTACGGAAAGAAATTGGGAGAGCTTCAATCCGAGTATGCACCACCGTTCCCCAATGTGGTCATTTGCTTAACTAAGAAATGAATATTATTAACCACGCGCGGTTAATTAATCTATGCTACACACAACAAAATTTAAACTGTTTAGATCTTTGTCGTTCATTTAATAAATGATACAGATCTACCGAATGTATCTCATCCAGTGTATTGTACAAATTTGTAATATTTTTATTTTCATTTAAATGGGAACTTGTGGGAGCTCCATTACGGATTAAGTGTATGAAAGGTTTGCGATGGAGGGCTTCACTCTGCTAGGGAGGCACCACCGTTCCTTACCGTGGTCATCTCCTTAACTAAGAAATGAGAAAACCATTGACAATGTATGTACACTACGGCCGTTATTGGTCATGTTGTAAAACTTATATTGGATTTATCCAAATAAAAGCTCGTAAACACAAGCATGAAAGTTAGTAGAACTTGTTCTCTGTCTTTCTAATGCAAATTGAATCAATGCGATTAGAATTCGAATGCGAAAATTACAACAAAAAAAAAAAAAGAGGTCAAAAGAATACGTGATTTAGTGTCAATTCGTCAGTAAGATTGCGGGGCAACAATATTGAATACAATTTTTGACCTTGAGTCTAATTCAATCTGGAAAAAAAAAACGCAAAACATAAAAGTAGTTGAACTTGTTCTCGTCTTTGTAATGCAACTTGAATCAATACTGTTAGAATTTATTTCGTGCAGATATAAATTATTTGTGTCAGATTCAGTTTTTCGTTACTGTTGCGTGAAGTGTTGCAACAGTTTGTGAAGCAGTTCGTAAAAACAGAAATAAACGAGACACAAATTTAATGTGGTTCGGATACAACTGTACCCTACATCCACGGGGACCTGCAAATGAAATTTACTAATTTTTAGTTTTACGAATACAATATTAGGACTTAATCAAAATACAAAGACTCCCTCTTTGTTTACGTCGTTCTTGTATACTACGCTGAATTATAATCTTCAATTTGCAGCGTACTACGCTGAATTATAAATCTTCAATTTGCAGCACGTCCCTTGCTCCGCACGGTTGAACTCCCTTCAACGCAGATCTGTTTAAGCCCCTCTCCATCTCCTCCCGAGATCTGTTTAATAGAAGAAGCAAACTTGTGATACTCCTTGAATCTTGGTGTCTTCACCACAAAGCGTAGAAGCCGGTATATTTTCTATGAAAATCACGTATCACGATAGAGCAATAAAAACGAGAGAAAATAATATTTTCTATGTGAATTTTTCTCTCGATAAAAAAACTCCGGAAGAGCAGCAAAGAAAAGAGAAATATTTTTCTCTCCAAAAAGGCACGCTCAATCACGTTGATAACAAAATACTAATTAATGGAAATATGTTGAATGACCATCTCAACCAAAAGCTTAAGTTGTTAGTGAAATGTATCATTTAGTATTAATATCTCTAACACGCCCCCGCAAGTGCAGGCGAATTACATTTGAAGCCTTACACTTGAAATATTTGAATTGGGTGGCGGTGGGATTCGAACTCAGGACCTTTCATTTGGTCTGGCTCTGATACCATGTTGAATGACCATCTCAACCAAAAGCTTAAGTTGTTAGTGAAATGTATCATTTAGTATTAATATCTCCAACAAAATAGATGAAGATCCGTAAGAGCACTTCTTGATTTTTATTCCTAATAAAAGACTCCTTATAATAAATAATTCTTAATTAATGACAAACAAGAAAAAAATCAATATATAAAAGAACTCTCTTTCTCTTTCACAAGACTTCTACACAAGTCATTAAGTTAAGAATAAATCTTTTTAATTAAGAGACTTTACAAATAAGCCCATCAATGGGTACTTATTTATAAAGAGATCAAGACAAAAAACTCTTTTACCAATAAGTCCACACATGGTCCAGATTTGTGTAAATGACTAAAATAACCTCTCATACTTTAATATGCTCCATTTTCATCCGTAACTTAATTTAACTTCAATTTGACCTCAAATTTCACAAATTATTCAATTTTGACCCAAAACTTTTTTTTTTGAAAAACTCTTTTTTTTTCCGCCGGATTCCGGCGTTGAATTTTTCAACTTTTTTTTTTTTCTTTCTTCTGGATTTTTTCGCCGGATTCCGGTGTTGACCGGCGGTCAACGCCGGTCTCCGGCGTTGACTTTTTAATATTTTTTTTTCTTCATATTTTGTCTTCTTTTTTTTTCTTCTTTTTTGTTCTGTAACTTTTTTTTTCCGTTTAAACAGCAATATTGTTGTGATTGACAGTAATATTAACTATCTTACTGTTAAATACAGTAAAATTAACTAAACTATAGTTTAACACAATAATATTGCTATATTAATCTCTAGCACATTAATATTAACACAACAAAACTCATTATTATTGTGTAATAAAGTAATATTATTATGTTGACCGTTCAACAAATGTATACATAATAAAAAAAACCAAAAGAATTAATATTACTGTGAGTGACAGTAATATTACTATAGCAACAGTAATATTACCGTCAACCACAGTAATATTACAATAATAGACAGTAATATTATTACGTTAATCCATGAATAACTCAAACAAATAAAAAATCCAAACAAAATAATATATTGATGTGGTTGACACCAATATTACTATAACAACAGTAATATTACCGTCAACCACATTAATATTATTGTGTTTACAGTAATATTACAATAATAGACAGTAATATTATTACGTTACTCCATGAATAACTCAAACAAAATAAAAACCCAAAAAAAAAAAAATATTGATGTTGTTGACAGTAATATTATTGTGTTTACAGTTATTTTACTGTCAACGACAGTAATATAATTACGTTTACTTGTCAACAAATAAAACAAAATAAAAAAAAAAACAATAAAAAAAAATAATAATATTACATTAATTTACTGTTAACGGCAGCACAATTACATAAATGTAATGTCAACGGCAGTACAATTACGTCAATTAACTATCATTGACAGTATAATTACGTTAATTTACTGTCAGTGACAGCACAATTACGGTCAACGTTTAGCGGCGGACGTGGAAAAACAAAACAAACCAAAAAAAAAAAAAACCTTAGAAAAACAACGCTAAAAAAATCAACGCCGGATAATGCGTGAATGCGCGTTGACTTATACCTGGGTGCTGACGTGCCGTCTTGCG